TCGTACTAAGTGTTGACATTTATCTCATCTTCTTCAGACAACTTCTTATTTCCAAACGAATGGTATTCAACTCTCCTTAAATACATTGAGTAAAGAAAGTTATTTATTTGCTCCATACAATTTGCTTTAATAAAATCTGACAAATATGTTGCAAGATAAAAGGTGAAAGATTAATTTAATTCAATGTATTTGCTTGAGAATTCTGTCGAAATACGAAAATAGCAGACCATTCGACTCTACTAAAATTTAAATTAAATGAAGTAGAGAAAGCACATGAAATAATATGGTAGATAAATTAAAGCTGTTAGATTTTAGATTACAAGTTGTTTTGACAAGAAAGGATTTTATTCTGTGTTTCAAAATTTTAATAAGAGGCGCATATTGTTTGCTACACTCTGGAAGTTTTAGAAGCTACACATTTATTTATGAAAAAAAGAAAATTCTAATAATGCTTCATTTAACAACTTAATTAACTTTTCACACACACACACACAAATGTTTTATTAAATGTAAATGTGATATAAATGAGAGCATAAACAACTGTGTAAAACACACACGTCAAAACTTTTACGTTTTTAAAGATGTTCTAAGAATGAGTACATATTTTGAATTAGATAAACATTACATTTACTTTCATAAAGTTAAAATGGATTAAATAACATTTTAACATTGAATTGCTTACTTTATTAACCAAATTACTTTAATTTTTAATAGAATTTGTTTAAAAATTATTTGCACTTATTCTTAAAAGAGCCCTTCTTTTTTTTTTATTTATTTCTCTTAGAGAATGAGAGTTGTTTTGACATCGCACTATAAAGCTGCACTAGAGTTATTGACGACGAACCTCGTTATCTTGAACCATGATCAAGTGGCGAGGACAACACCTGAGCTAGCACCGCCTTTCCTAACTTCCACACCATACTAATGGGAGGACGTTTGATCCTCGATGGATATAACATGCAGTGGCCCTCTGTAGATGGCGTGGTAGCCCTGTGGTCAAGGTCCGCTTAAGATCCTCCGTGTATGGGGGAGATGTACGTTTAAACCGTAGAGGCTCAAACATCCTCCCATTGGTGAGATGTAGAAAGGAGAGGGGCTGCCAGCAAAAGCGTGTCGTCCTCGTCACTTGACCACGGTTCAAAATTCCGAGGTCCGTCGTCCAAAGCCCTCCTGTAGCTAATCACTGCGACGTCAATATTCAACCACTCACTCTGTACACGGCAGGTCTTCAGCGTCGAGAGAGTTATATTTACGTCACACTATAAAGCTACATGAGAGAGGGCTATTGGCCACGGACCTTGTAATTTTGAACCGAATCTGTGTCCTCTTATTTTTCCGTAACTCGAAGTAATATAGCTATTTTATAAACTCACACGCTATCTTTCAAGAAGAAAGCAATGTATCCGTTGCTTGAACAGCCCACCGTTGGTTAAAAAATAAAACATTTTGTCCGTAAATTTAGTGAACTTAAAGTATAAACTAAATTTCAGATTCCTTTCTTTCTACCATTTATTTTTTATGCACATTTCATAAAACAGAATAATGGTTGCATATATTTCCAGCAAAATTTAAGGCAGAAAGCTTCTACGTTAAATATTGCTGCAAATATTCTGAAGATCAATATCTTTATTTGTGACGATTTCTCCAGTCGAGAAGCAAAACAATATGTTTGCTCTCTATATAACTATGGATTGTTTTAAATTAAGTATTTACAGTATTTTTTATCCATTAAAAAGGTGTTTAAAGGGGATTTTCAGTTAGAAGAAAGTATTTCATTAATACTTTCCTTTCTACTATATAACAGGAAGCGCCTTTCGTTTCTGGAAAGAAGATTAAATATACCAACTTATTCCTCTACTATTAGTTCACACTCTCCCAAAATAAATTTATATATATATATACATGTATTTTTCAAATTTTCAATCGTGTCGTGGGTTCAATTCTCATCTGGGATGGCCTAATTTCTGAGAATGTGATTTCGCTTTACTATACTATTTTATTGGGATAATTTAATTTCATTAATTAATAAATAGTTACAAACAAAAATTAGTTCAACATTATATATAGAAAGGAAAATGGGGAAGAAAAAGAAAACTCGCTCTTTATTTTGCCACTTAATATTGTGATTCTGTCATATACACATTTATTTTGTAATTTTAATTATTTAATAGAAAATAGCTAAAATAAAAATTTTCTTTGCTGACTTAAGTAGGAATTGACTTAAATTTTTTTATATTACTTGTTTTCATTGTAATTTTTTGAAGACAAATTAGGTTGGCAGTATTCGACACGCGTTGAACACTTTCAAACGATTTGATATATCTTATAACTCATTTCACACTCAAAAAACTAATTATATTTTGGTAGTATAATTAGTTACTTATTGATTTTTTATCTTTTTTTTATTTCTTGAGACAAGGCTATTGAATATTTATAATAATAGAAACAAGTGAAAAAATCAAGGGGGAAAAAACAAAGTGAAAAAGAATTCTAACTTTGCAAACATTTCGTAACTTTTCTTTGCTCTCAAAATTTCCTATAAGCGGTTAAGTAAAAGGAATTCTCAGTTCCTACTTGAAAATGCTTCGATACAGAAGAAAAGCGTATGGGGGAAAAGTAAACAGCCCTTGTGGATTTTAGTAACATACTTCCAATTTAATACAAATTTATAATACAAGTTAAATTAAATTCGTAATATATAAAACGAACTGGTTTGCTATGTTGCTAATATGCTATTTTAATTGTATAAATTACTAGGTTCTTGTTTAGCTTTCATTGACTCTAATAGTCTGATGTAAAAGCTATTGGCGATGGATTCGTAATTTTGAACCACAATCGTCATCTGATGAGAGGGACCGCTATTATGTTATCTACCCCTCCTAATGTATAATCTGTTAGAATTTAGGTTTATTTGAATTAAGTTTATTTAAACGAATTGTAGACCTCCTTATTTCATTCTAGACATTTTGAGGAATCACGATTCAATCTTTCCATATCTTGGAAGTTGATACGCGTATTGACTTTTTAATTATAAGTTGAAGCATGCTAACATACATAAGCAATAAACACTGATTATGAAGCATGAAAGACACGTTTATTTTCCATTATTTTATGTCTTTGCTTTTTAAGGTATTCTTTGCTCATTTTCAGGAACTTTTAACAATACCTTCATCATTATATACACAACAATTATTAATTATATATGTGTGTTTTGATTGTAGTTATTATAGAATCTTCGATTGTAGTTAATACAGAAGCTGTTTATACGTAATGTGATTTTTAGCAATTTCTCAAATTCTGAAAGGAAGCATATAGTAATTCCGTTTCCTGTAATTTTCCTTTCAATTTCCAATTTTTTATCACTGTCTAAAGTTTTCACGCAAATCAGCGTGAAGATTATTTTCTGATAAGCTATAATACTTATAACATATAACACACGAGAGAAACTTCATCAGAAATTTAATGGTTTTGATTCTCCAATTAGAGAGGATCAATGGATAATTGAGCCTAACAGTAATTAAGCGCAACGGTTGCTCTCTTCGCTGATTATTGTAAATATTGAATTGCATTGTCTCATGAAATAAAGAAAAAATAGATGAAAAATCAATAAGTAACTAATTATATTTCCAAAATATAATTAGTTGTCCCTTATGATGATACATTAAATTGTTTGAAAGTGTTCATCGTCTCCTATTTTGTCTTTAAGAAATTGCAATGAAAATAAGTCGGTATATTTATTCTTCTTTCCAGAAACGAAGCGCTTCCTATTATGTACTACAGTGCTTCTCGAACTTTCCATACTTGCGACCCAATATTAAATCACAATTTTCTTCACGCCCCCCTTCTATGCCATAACGATGTATTCAATTTAATAATAATATACTTTGACGCTAAAGCTACGATACTATTTTAACCTCTTAAGTGCCACCGGCGTATATAAACATCTCATTCAACCAACACATTAATTGTCCCAGACGTATATATACGACTTTCCAATGCACGACATTTTGGGCACTGTATCCATAAAATTATTCCGAATTCTTTGAAATGCAATAAAAGGATCTTGACAATGCTTGCGAAGGATTTACTTATTACTTATTATTTGCTTCTTTATTCCTTTTCCTCTCCCCAATGCATCACATACGCGCGCCTACGCGCAAAACGGTTGGCATTGGGAAGTGAATCGCGTAACTTTTAATCCTAAGTTAAGGGATTAATTATACACCTTACAAATTATCAAGAAAATTTTTGAATATAATTTTATGTATGACAAGCCCATGGGGCCACTGGTAATTATTAATCTTGTTCTTAACATAGTATTGTTAAATTAATTACAAAATACATTGTGCAGTACTGATATCTTTATAAGTGTATCATATCAGTGTAAATGTGCATTTTATTTTTATTATGTCAGAATGTATTCTGTTTGCTTATTTTCAGTAAATTAATATTTTATATATAATTTTCTGTTTTTGACTTTTCAATATGCTTGCGCTCCCCTAGTAGAGTTATCACGACCCCATAGGGGGCGCGCCCCACAGTTTGAGAAACGCTGATGTACTAAGCTCAAAAATAGATATTATATGTGAAGTATAAAATCGTTCCTCGAGTTTAATCGTTGTTGTTATTAGACAATTAATATTGAGTATAATATTTTCTAAAAAAATTTACTCTCATTGTGAATTCTAATACTCGTTAACTAGTTGAAAAATAAATTTAATAAAGGCTTGGAATGTTACACAACTCAATTCCTACTATTAGTTCACCCTCTTCCTATATATATATATATATCTTATTCACAAATTTTCAATCGTTAATAAAATACTTTCTGTTCATCCCCATTCAAGTTCAAATACACTTTTTAAACTTGTAGTGGATGACACTTGATGTTAATAGTTTTTTTAAAAATTTTAATTCATTAATTAAATTAAAAAATAAACAAGTTGTTACAAAAATAATAATCCAACTGCATATATAGAAAGGAAAAATGTTTGTGTTGTGTCCCAGTAGCGTAATGGATAGCTCGTTGGACTTCTAATCCAAAGGTCGTGGGCTTAAATCTCACCTTGGATGGACTAATTTCTGAGAATGGGATTTCCTTTTTTACTATACTATTTTATTAGAATGATTAAATTTAATCAATTAATAAATAGTAACAAACAAAAAAAAAATAGTCCAACACCATACATTGAAAGAAAGATGGAAGAATTTTGGACGGAAAATCGCTTTGTGTCTTCTCATTTAATATTGTGATTCTGTCATATGTAGATATATATTTATAATCATTGTAACTATTTAATAAAAAGTAATTAAAATGAGATTTTTCTTTGTTGACCTACATAGGAATTGACTTTTAAAATTTTTTTTTGTTGCCTATGTATTTATTTAATGCCACAATGATCTTCTCATGAAAAAAAGTTTTTGTCTATCGTATTTTTCTGCTACTCTTACTGGAAGGAGAACTTTTATCGACGAAGTAGAGAGTGTAATGATACGACACAAACAAAGCACCATAAATCTTTTACATTTTAAATTCTATTGTAATAGACTTTCTTTATACAAAATGTTCTTAGTACTGTGCAAATTTTAATGGATTCTTGCGTTTTACGGTTACGTTTTATCTTGGAAAAAACGGAAATAAATTTCAAAAAGTCTGAAGCACTTCGCAAAAATTATTAAAGAAGAGTTATTGAACAAATGATACCATTTCTGTATTCTTGTTTCAAAAGTTTTGAAAACTTAAAGCTCATGCAACTAAATAACCAATAGAAAATTAAATTATGAACACTTTATTATAAAAATATTTCCATGCAACCATAGAGAATTTTGTCATTAAATTTTTTGTGAATTCTTATTCTTATTTTATTTTGTATATAGAGACACATTTTCAATTTAGATGGACGTTAAAAATGATTTCTCAAATGCATAGCATCCATGAACCTATTTATGTTTCATGAATTTCACAAAAAGAACAGTTCACGAATATTCCTAAATAAATATTGATATCCCAGAATTAAAATGCTTGAATAGACGCGGAAAATTATAATAAAAAATAAAGAAAGAAATTTAGACTGAAGGAAATATTTTGCTTAAATTTCTTGTTATTGAGTAGCTCAGTGAAGGTTTTATTTTGAAAAAGAGAAATACTCTGTGTGTCTGCTCTCAATTCAAAGTGAGAAAAGAAAAATTACTTATGCAAAATTAAGTGTGGATCTATTGGAATAACAAAGCTTGTCTAAATAGTATTAAAGTGTTTTTCGATTACATTTTTAAACAAAACAAAAAAAATGGGAATTGCTGAATAAATAGAATTTTTTATTTTTATTTTTGGCATAAAATAAAAAAATTATTAGTTGTTGTTAACTAAACAACCTTAAGTACATAATAATTCATTCAAATTTACATAAAATACCGTAATATTTATTTATTTTTTTAAGCTATTTACACTTTAATAAATTTAAAATCCTTATTTATTTTAATGCTCACACAAAGAGCAATAGATTACAATATTAGTATACGATTTCAATAAAAATAATTATTATTTCATAAATGAAATAGCAGCATTCATTGCTAGTTTATATTTGCTCACTTGATACAGTAATTTCTCTAAGTATATTGGAATTTATATTAACACGTTTTGGACTTTAACTGAAAAAATATCTTATTTTAATGAGACGAAAAGCAACTAAGGATTAAATTTCAAAATAAATACAAATTTTTAAAATCTTGATTGAAATCATTTTCTTATGTAAGCATTTTATTGCTTTATGCACATTCTTAAGACTTCGACCATAATAGTAAAAGAGCAAAATGAACAACAAATTTAGCGCGGGAATATTTCAATCAATCCTTCGTAGAAAGGTACTCCACAAGATATAATGAAAACATCTACAAAATTCAACTCAGCCATTTTCTTTGAAATTTACTACATCAAAGTCTTTATTTAAGAAAAAGCATTAAAATGACGTAAAGATTATAAAAGGGAGTTGTACAATTATCTATGTATAGCGCAATCAAGATTACATATTAATACGCTGGGCTGAGGAGAGTACAATGTCTTTTTCAAAATCTATCATGTTAAAAAATCCTCCCTGTAAGGCGAATTTGAAAATCGAAACATTCTGACACAATGTATAACAATGTTACTTATTTCAATAAAAAAATATAACAACCCTTTTTTGAAATTTAATTGCACATCGGAAAAAGCGATTTTTGCCTTTACATTTGGGAGCGGGAAAAAAAGCCATCCATCATATAAAAAAAATATTCATTTGAGGAAAGTTTTCCCAATTTTTTTTAAGTCTCCGAAACCCTGAGATAGTTTTTCTCCCTTTCAAGGGTGCGGGGTGAGCTTATTAGCTGCCTGTTGCTCCTGGGAGAGTGGGAGCGCTGGAGTGGGGGAGAAACGGGAAAATATCCTACCTGTGGAAAAGGAATTGGAAAAGCGGGAGCTCATATTCGGCAAGTCCGCATCAGTTTCTCGACGTTCGTACCTATCCGATAGACTTGTAGATATGTACGATCAGCTTACCTACGGCCGCGGCTTACTTCCTGAGGCTCACTGTCTCTCTTTATCACGCCATGTGACTCTCGGGATGGACTCCCATTGGTCAGGATGCAGCTGTTGACGTCACACGCCCAGGATGCAGACCGAAATGAATCGTTACACGGATAGCTCCAGCAATGGCTCCGCGCAATGAATAACATTGGATAAAAAGGGGCTTTTTTTGCCCACCTCCCTAAAGCCCTTTGTCCCACTCACGATCACGCGTACTCCAACTATTTTCACAGCGTACGGAGCACGCGTACAGAGAGTACGCGCTTAAAATAGTTTTCTCTCCCGATCATAGCTGTTTAATTTTTGAATCATGCGGATAACAAAGCCAAAGCACAATTTGAGTTGTTATTAAAAATGAAGAATTCAATTTTTGAATAAAAAAAAAATCATGGAAACATTTTCTTCATTATTTTTAGTTTCTATCCACAAACACAATATCTGAGTTGGAGCTTAAATATATTCTTTTAAACATTAAAGCGGGTCAAATATCAGCGTAAAAATTAGAAAAGATAAAACTGTTGGTTGCACATTTTGAATTTTTATGCATTTCTTAAATCTGTCAACACTCGATATTGATTGATCAAATGTTTGGCAAATATTAGAAAAACGAAAAAAAAAATAATTAAATAAACTCAAGATTAAATTTTAGATAGAGGCTAGGGATATTTTTATGATAATGACACAAGACTTAATGTTTCCATAAAAATGATGCCTATTTTTTTAAAGGACTCTTAACACACCTATTAAAAGTCCTGAAAGAACAACTTAAGTAAATATAAATAAATTTGTTTGCTATTCGATTTTAATTTTGAAATATATTTTGTGTCCATCATATCAAACTTTATTCAATAAAAGCGCGTTTAATGCAAATCCTAAAATAATTTTCACATTAGAAATTAGAAAAATTAGAAACATTAGAAAAATCCTCTAGAGTTATATCAGTGTTCTGAATGATAAGTAGTCTCAAGAGAATCCAGTATTTAAAGTCGCAAGATCGTGACTAGCTATCTTAAACTTGAGTCATGGATTCGAACTCTGCCATTACTAAAGTTGCATTACGTTATATAACGGGGTATTCTACTAAAATTAAATGCATTGAATGTTTATAGATGTCGCACAAAAAGTAAAGCAATGGATATTGACGAAAGACCTCATAATTTTGAACTACAATTGACAACAAAGACGTCATCCTAACTCTTGCTCCATTTTCTTAATTGCTGCACTACACCACAACTTAGAGTTCCGCCAAATTTAACCGAAGCGCGCCACCATCAGCTCTACCCTACATTAGTCTTTGGAGACCCGAATTCTCTCTTACGAGATCGTTACTCTACCCACTAGTATACAGAGACCCACCATAATAATTGGAACTAGGCTTTAAAATATTCCCCTGACTTCCTGTAGAAGCTAAGTGGGTTAAGTAATAGCTTATATATATGTTATCCGTGGTTCAAAATTGTTGGTTCATCACCTTCAATCCTGGGATATCTATAGAGGGTCATCAATTGCAAACCAATCAAAATGAAAGCGATAACGGATGTTTTGAAGTGGCTCTTTTATTTGGTAGATTCAAAATAATGGCTAATATGAGAGATATGCATGCTGAATAATTATGGATGTATATTGTGGAAGCTTTTCGGTAGTTTTTCGGTGAAAATAACGGAAATCCAAATGTTTTTCTTTCGCTGAGGAAGTTTGGATAGTAAAATATTGCTAACGTCTAATGACTCAGAAATCCGAGTAAAAAATTTATTTAAGGAAAGTATATTTGCATTAGCAATTAATATCAAAATTGTAAAAAATTATTTTTTATTTACCTATTTAAATAATTTAATTACATGTGTTGTTATTTATTTAAATTAAAAAACTTAAAGAAATATTTTCTGTGTAATTCAGTGATTTATTGCAACATAATTGGTTTCTAATTAATTATAATATGTAAATAAAAAAACGCAAAATTTAAAAATTAGTTATTCTCGTTACGTGAAAATTTTAAATAAATACAAAAAAATCAAGTGTCTTATAAAAGTTTTAATATTTTATGGTATATTATATCAACGCGTCCGAATATAGCTATATGAAAGACATTGGTAATAGAACTCAATTTTATTAACCGATCAGGTGATGAGGACTATACCTGAAATGGTACCTCACACACCTTAGCAAAGTTTACACTTGGGTAAATAAAAATTAAATCTTTTCTTAAGGAGGAATCAATATTTATAACATATTAGAAAAAAATTAGTTTGATGGATTTTTGATTTCTTATACCAACAACTTATTCTACAGATTTGTCTATTTTAATACATCTCAAAACAAATTCTTCAATAAAATGTTTGGGGTCTTTTTGTTAAGTGTAAAAATCTTGTAAAAAAATTTGAAAATGCTTGGATCTCTTGGACATTAATGCGGGATATATTTGTTCAAAGTTACGAAATTCATGTCCCGTATAAATGAGATATCTTTTGGTATTTTCTTACAGATTCAGTGACACACGTTTAAAGCGAAAACACTT